TTATTTTTTTTTTTATTTTCTCCAAGTTATCTGCTTTGCTCAATGGTGTGATTTTGCTCTGGGGTGTGATCTGCGATGCTGATGTAAAAAGTACAATCAGAATAAAGAAAAATTAAGCATTTATTTATTAACAGTTTATTTATATTCGTTTTTTTTATTTTTTATTTCTAATTTAAATTTTATCCCTAAAGTCTCTGAGAGGAGATCCAACACCCATATCATCCCACAGGCTCTGCTTATCTCCAACAGTTCCACTTTAATTTTTTAAAATATTCCCTGTAAATATACGTGATCTTTTATTGAATTTTNGATCCAACACCCATATCATCCCACAGGCTCTGCTTATCTCCAACAGTTCCACTTTAATTTTTTAACCCTGTAAATATACGTGATCTTTTATTGAATTTTCTTAAAATAGAACAAAAATTTCTCTGTTTTAAAACATGATTTACTCAATTTCCTTTATATTAATCCTTACTTTTTATCACGAATGCAAACAAAGTATTAAGCGCTTCATAAGTTGACGATGCCTTTTAAGGCTTCTTTAACCCTTTTACGAGGTCGTGACCCCAATTTTATAAACTTTAATCAACTCAGAAACTTCAGCAAACAGATTATCTAACCTGTTTAAATCTTAAAATAGATGATTTTACGCAGTTTTCATGGAATACGTGATTCATCTTTGTGCAACATCAACGTAACTATTTATCTAACCGTAAAGTTTATTTTAGTTTTAAATCGTTTCTTTCTTCAACTGTAATATATATATTTTATAAATAATTTCCTTAAAAATAAATTTTATATAGTTTAGCTCAACTAATTACTCATTATCTGACACTACCTAGATACATTATATGACACTATATAACACCTATTTATAGACTGTGGAGCGGCATAACTCATTAATTTTCTAGAAAAACAGATTATCCAACGCTTAAAATATGTAAAACTGATAATTAACTTGTATCAGGAAACAGATTATCTCACGTGTGATGTTAATGAAACAGGTTATCTAACCCATGATTATGTATACCCAAAGTGGCCAAACTGCGCTCTTCTAGATCTTTATTGCAGCTCCCGTATATCCGACCCCCTTACCCTAGTATATACATTATACCTATATAACAATAAAACAGCGTTCCAAATATGGGATGCGGCTCACGCGAAAGTGGCTCCTATAGTGACAGGATTTGGCCATCAATACTGTTTATACCTCCCATAGGATAAGTCAAGGTTCTTCACACCAATTATCTACGTATAATATAAGCCTTCGTAGTGTTAATCTTTACTGTTTTCATACTAATAAAAATAAGTTACTTAATTATTCTATACACAGTGATTTTTGCAACATATTTTAAGTTACCAGGAAACTGTATAAGTTTCTGGAAACAGATTGAAAGTCTTGTGAAGCTAATTATGTGAACTTGCAATTTTTATAAAGCAGATAATTCAATTTGAAACGTATTAATTATTGCTATATTGCTCAAGAAACATAGCTGTTATTTCCGCCATTTTCTTTAAATGGCGGAAATAAAAAAAGAATTACATTTCGAAATCGTACTTTGAACGTAATTATTTGCTATCGTTGCTAGTAAATGGTTTTATATTAACGATGTAACACTTAACTTTTTTCTTATGTGTATATTTATATAGAACTTTTTTCCCTTCTTGAGCCATTAAAGCTCATTGACTCACTTCGTATGAGAAACGGAAATGATTATGAATCACTGGCGTTCAAGAATATGTCACGCTTCAAGAAAGCTAACCACATTTTTTGAATTTCGAGATGATTCTTCGTGATGTCACGGAATGAAGTTTTTAAATTTCTCAGCGCTTTTAATGTTATTTAATCTGATAAACTTTTGTTATTATCTTACTAAGTTTGAACTCTGGAATAGTAAGTTGATTGTATTTTGTTTACGGGATTCGAATCCGGACTCTGGCGTGTAATGTTTTAGATTATTATTTTAAATTATACGGATTATGTAATGTTTTTAAAGCTTGATAAATATTATTCTGTAACAATTTTAATCCGAATTTATGTGGTTACATTCTGAAAACTTATGATGTATGTTGATGACTTCGACAATTTATTTTTAAGTTGACAAATCTCCGAGACCTTAAGAAAGATAAGCAAATCCCAAATAATGCCACGTAAACGATTATTATCTAAGAGAAAAACAAATGATAAACATCTAAGTTAAAAAAAAAAAAAAACAACAGGATATTGGTATCTTCTTTCAGAAGATTTGTTATCTTACAGGGTAACAATATATCTCTGCAAAGAATTTAATTTTATAAGATTGCTAGAGGCATAATATGACTCCTTACATTGTTACGGATCCATTTATGAGTCATATACAGAAATTAAATGTAATAAAAAGTAAATTTTCCTCATAAGAAGGTGTTAAATCGACTTTCAATAAACCAACGGTGCGCTTTGAAAGTGGTAAACAAGACGTTAACGGCCGATTTGCATCGGTAACATCATTTTGTAAGCAAAATATGCCTTTTTTTATACATAAAAAAAAAACTTGACTAGAACGAAATTCAGCCAAAATATTTATTTTGGAACGTTCACACAGCGAAGAGAATCACTTGGCATTAGTTTTGCTTGGACAGAGAGATTCTTATCTTCGGACAGAATGTTAATCATTCAAACGTAAATAAACATTTTTAAAAGAACACATTAAGATTTTATTGCTTATTTTTTTATTAATTAACATGGCTGAAGTTCTATTATATTTTAAAAACTTTTTTTTTATATATTTATTTATACGTTTTAAGCTTCCCAAAATGGCTGCTTGTGCGAGAATATACGTGAGTTTAGTGACTCACTGGACTTATTTTTTTATTTTTTTTTTTTTTATATATGTGTATATTTGTATGTAAGAGAATGACGAATTGAATCATTTTCTCACGGATGTGATTAAGTTACGTAAACATTTATCGTCAGATTAAATACATATTATTATGATAAAACTTTGTCCTTTCCCATAGAAAGTAACGTAACTGGTTAAGTTACGCTCTGACTTTCTGGATCATTTTTTCCCTTGTTTTTTGACAATGGAGAGGTCAAAAAATATTATTTTTTTTTTATATAGAAAATTTAGTGTTACTTCCTCTAGAGTCTAGATTATAAAATATACACAATAACTAAGGACAGAGGAACTGCAATAAATATTTGAAGGGCAAAATTGCTACAATATTAATGATTGTGAGAAGGGAAATTCATTAATTAATACTAGTAAACAGGAAATGGTGGAGAAGAATAAAGGAGAGAGAAAATAGCAAACGGAGCGCTCCCGTTCGAATTAAGGTATTTGTTACGAAAGTGTTATAATTATTTACGCATTGTCTGTCTGTATACGTGACTATTCGGACGTTAGCAATTCTAATGAATTTTTAATTTGGTGTAACGAAAACAATTATAGACTGTCGGCTTTTCCGATCGCCTGTACGGTATTATAAACTTATGATTAAAAATAGACAAATTTTCTATAGTTATAAGGCCTAATATAAAATTTATTAAGCTATCGTTCGTATAATAATAATTTCAGCAGAAAATTTTAACTGGTTTATGCTTTTGTAGCAGTTAAATCGTGGAATTATATTGATGCCGCTTAGATTATACATTCGAGACTTTTCCGGAATTAATTATTAATGTTAATTTTTTTAAGAAAATAACTCATGAATTTTGTGATATTATTATTTCTGAATAAATTTAAAAATTAATGAAAATTAATAAAAATTATTAAATTGTTTAAGAACAAATTTTACAAATTATTTTTCGTTAAATTAAATCTAATCGTTTTAATGAGATGGCGCTAGTGCGAAAATGGGTACTGCGGTGAGCACGTGCTTTTTGTGAACACGTGTTTTTCGTTTTTAGTTCGTTTAAACTTTTAAAATGATGGAAAATAGTTATTTAAATGTAGTTTCTTGCCAGGAAGGAGATTATTTAACTCAAAGATGTCGTTTGAGTTTTTCGTTTATTTTAGGATTAGGCTTACGTGTTGGACATTATGTTTCTATTACTTCTGATGATGGTTCTACGAGTGTAATTTGTATGTTACGTCCTTTGTATGAAACAGAATCATTACGTGCTGTTGAAATAGATGATACTGTCGTCATAAATCATAAGTCCATACGTAAGAGATTAAAACACATAAAATATCCTTCTGGATTCACTTCACTTGACACGTGTTTAGTAAAGGACATCAAAATTTCTGTTGTTTTAAGCGACATTAACGCATCATCTGAATGGAAAAACGAAAATTATCAGTTAGAATATTGGATAAAATGCCTTATTCAACAATTTCGCATTGTTAAAAATTCTGTCATAAAATGTGCCAATCATCCTCTTACGGAGTTATGCAAATTTCATGCCATTATTATTGAAGATCTGGACTGCAATGAAAATTATGTAGGAAAAGTCAATGAACAGACTAATATTTCTGTAAATAAAATCATCAGTAAAGAGTGGTACGAACTAAATCAATGTGTCGAAGAGATCCCTCTGGGAGGTTTACGGAAGGAATACGAAATTTTAAAGCATATAATTACTATCTCGACTAATAATTTTGAATCAAATCCCACTGGTATATTATTAATTGGACCTTCAGGAACAGGAAAGTCAACATTAGTGAAAAAAGTTTGTTTGGATTGTAGAGCACCTTTAATTAAAATTGGAATATCAAACTATTGTATATCTGGAGAAAGCAAAAATGAAAATGAATTAAGGAAAATATTTAGTCAGGCTGAGACGTTGTGTGAAGAGGGCCCTTGTGTCCTGTTGGTGGATGAGATTGAATTATTTTTTAATAAGAAAAGTAGTAAAAACTGCAAGCCTCAGTTGCGTTCTCTAATAGATAATGTGAAAAGAAATAGGAAACTGATAGTAATAGGTGAAACGAGTAAACCAAATGACATTGTTTTGAGAATGAGAAGATCTTGTAGATTTGAAAAAGAGGTAGAATTAGATCTAAACATTTCTGAACTGTTTATATGTATAGATATGCTTTAACATGAAGTAATTTCAGTATTTAAAATGTTAATCTATTAAAGATATAGAGGTAAATTATCTTTAATAGATTAAATTTCGGTAGAGGCTGCTTTCAGGTAATTTGTATATACTATATATGGTATCTATATAAACTACCTAAGAGTAAATTCTAACTAAATATATGATAATTATACAATTATTAATTATTTATTACTAAATTAAAGAGAAGGTAATACAAATTTCAAATAAAAACTTGTAGATCATCATTAGATTCTGTTATAATATCTTTTCCATCAACATTATCACAATTTGTTAATATCGGAATGTAACAGAATGTTACTTATTTAAGCAAAGATATTAACACATTGACAAAAATAGGATAATATATTTGTGTTTACGACTGTTGTGTCATTTTTATTGTTCATTTCCATGACATTCTAATGTAATATTTTTGAGTTTACATGCAACACCCAGCTGTGATGATGTTGATGGAAAAGACTGATGCAATTGTTTGCTATTTTAGTTAGGTGAGCATGTCACTAGTTATGCCATAAGAAGTTGGATCTTTCCCAGATATAGGAATTTAGAAATAACATTTACGGTATCAAATCATACTTGATGTTTTCTTTTTCCAGATATTTGTAACTATTATTTACATAAATATCAATTTAACTACATGCATTTTGTAGATGACAACATAAGTAGTGACATGTATATCATTTGTGATTAGTGTAAGCAGAGCATAAAATGAATGCACCAGATTTATAACTTTTTTGATCTTTTTGAAATTTATGAACAAAAGTAAGGTTTGTATATCTTAAATATTATAATTGATAATATCCATTTATAAAATTATATGGGTNCAACAATAAATAAATCATCGTTATTTTATATAAATAAATATATTTTTTTAATGAAATTATTTTAATAAAAATAAAATTCCTAGAATAAAACCTTCTTGGTTAAATTATCTGTTTGATAAATACATGCGGCTTTTTTCTTTTTTCCTCCCTTTTTTAAATAAAATAAACTGTTAATTTTCTTAGAATAGATTACTTAACCTATTTATGAATATTTTTGCTTTATTTATTTTATTTTATTTATGTATTTTTGATTAATGTACAGTGTTTTAGGCTCATAGTGTAGTGTCACTATTAGGGGACGTCCATTAATTAAATGTATAGTTTAAGAGGGAGTGAATCGCGAAAAGTACAGTTGTACATCATTGTACACAATGGGAAGAGGGAAGAAGGGAGTGGGTCGAGGCATTGTCTAAATGGACTTTTTATTGGTATTAGTGGTATATGAATTTGTTCTTATAAGCCTACTTACTAGTCACGTGAATAAACTACCAGGAAGCATTTTAAAGTCATTTCTTCAATGCCAGGGGTTGTATTGTACACGTAATTAAAGGGAAGAGGGATTGACAATAATATACTTTGGGCAGGGATGGAGAGGGGTGATCAAAAGTGACACACGACTCCTTACTTACTTTAAAACACATAACTTTAAATAATTTTATAATTTTTTTAAATAATATATTGTATGTTTTTAATAAAATAACAGAGCTTTAATGTATATTTTAGCATAATTTGTGACGCGACGTCAGGTTTTTCGCTTGGCACGCGTCGCCGATAATATAAAACACACTATACTTTTATAAAAATCAATTATGCAATCTAAAACTCTTGTTTCGTAAAGAAAATGCATTCTGTTAGATAGATTATTTAACAAAATTGTTCAAGCTAAACGAGAGTTTAGCTTAAACAAGTGTATTAATTCGAGCGATACCTTCTCTCGCGTCGCGTTTACTCGCGTCGCGCATAAGCTACGTCGCCTTCTTATTAATTAATGAGGACATTATAGACTTGTATGCTATTTCTTTTAAATTATTATTTTTTTAACTATTTCGATGTTTTAACAATATAATTCTTTAGTACGGAAAAGTCTAGCATCAATTCGATGTGATACAACGCGTTATCTCGTATGCGCCAAATAATTCACTAGAATTTTTGTCATTTAAAAAAAAAGTATGCAGATTATCTAATCTATAACCTTACAACTTTCTTAAAAACATATTATCTAATTTAAATATATTTTCAAGAATAGATTATCTTACTTTTACTTTTCTCCAAGTTATCTGCTTTGCTCAATGGTGTGATTTTGCTCTGGGGTGTGATCTGCGATGCTGATGTAAAAAGTACAATCAGAATAAAGAAAAATTAAGCATTTATTTATTAACAGTTTATTTATATTCGTTTTTTTTATTTTTTATTTCTAATTTAAATTTTATCCCTAAAGTCTCTGAGAGGAGATCCAACACCCATATCATCCCACAGGCTCTGCTTATCTCCAACAGTTCCACTTTAATTTTTTAACCCTGTAAATATACGTGATCTTTTATTGAATTTTCTTAAAATAGAACAAAAATTTCTCTGTTTTAAAACATGATTTACTCAATTTCCTTTATATTAATCCTTACTTTTTATCACGAATGCAAACAAAGTATTAAGCGCTTCATAAGTTGACGATGCCTTTTAAGGCTTCTTTAACCCTTTTACGAGGTCATGACCCCAATTTTATAAACTTTAATCAACTCAGAAACTTCAGCAAACAGATTATCTAACCTGTTTAAATCTTAAAATAGATGATTTTACGCAGTTTTCATGGAATACGTGATTCATCTTTGTGCAACATCAACGTAACTATTTATCTAACCGTAAAGTTTATTTTAGTTTTAAATCGTTTCTTTCTTCAACTGTAATATATATATTTTATAAATAATTTCCTTAAAAATAAATTTTATATAGTTTAGCTCAACTAATTACTCATTATCTGACACTACCTAGATACATTATATGACACTATATAACACCTATTTATAGACTGTGGAGCGGCATAACTCATTAATTTTCTAGAAAAACAGATTATCCAACGCTTAAAATATGTAAAACTGATAATTAACTTGTATCAGGAAACAGATTATCTCACGTGTGATGTTAATGAAACAGGTTATCTAACCCATGATTATGTATACCCAAAGTGGCCAAACTGCGCTCTTCTAGATCTTTATTGCAGCTCCCGTATATCCGACCCCCTTACCCTAGTATATACATTATACCTATATAACAATAAAACAGCGTTCCAAATATGGGATGCGGCTCACGCGAAAGTGGCTCCTATAGTGACAGGATTTGGCCATCAATACTGTTTATACCTCCCATAGGATAAGTCAAGGTTCTTCACACCAATTATCTACGTATAATATAAGCCTTCGTAGTGTTAATCTTTACTGTTTTCATACTAATAAAAATAAGTTACTTAATTATTCTATACACAGTGATTTTTGCAACATATTTTAAGTTACCAGGAAACTGTATAAGTTTCTGGAAACAGATTGAAAGTCTTGTGAAGCTAATTATGTGAACTTGCAATTTTTATAAAGCAGATAATTCAATTTGAAACGTATTAATTATTGCTATATTGCTCAAGAAACATAGCTGTTATTTCCGCCATTTTCTTTAAATGGCGGAAATAAAAAAAGAATTACATTTCGAAATCGTACTTTGAACGTAATTATTTGCTATCGTTGCTAGTAAATGGTTTTATATTAACGATGTAACACTTAACTTTTTTCTTATGTGTATATTTATATAGAACTTTTTTCCCTTCTTGAGCCATTAAAGCTCATTGACTCACTTCGTATGAGAAACGGAAATGATTATGAATCACTGGCGTTCAAGAATATGTCACGCTTCAAGAAAGCTAACCACATTTTTTGAATTTCGAGATGATTCTTCGTGATGTCACGGAATGAAGTTTTTAAATTTCTCAGCGCTTTTAATGTTATTTAATCTGATAAACTTTTGTTATTATCTTACTAAGTTTGAACTCTGGAATAGTAAGTTGATTGTATTTTGTTTACGGGATTCGAATCCGGACTCTGGCGTGTAATGTTTTAGATTATTATTTTAAATTATACGGATTATGTAATGTTTTTAAAGCTTGATAAATATTATTCTGTAACAATTTTAATCCGAATTTATGTGGTTACATTCTGAAAACTTATGATGTATGTTGATGACTTCGACAATTTATTTTTAAGTTGACAAATCTCCGAGACCTTAAGAAAGATAAGCAAATCCCAAATAATGCCACGTAAACGATTATTATCTAAGAGAAAAACAAATGATAAACATCTAAGTTAAAAAAAAAAAAAAACAACAGGATATTGGTATCTTCTTTCAGAAGATTTGTTATCTTACAGGGTAACAATATATCTCTGCAAAGAATTTAATTTTATAAGATTGCTAGAGGCATAATATGACTCCTTACATTGTTACGGATCCATTTATGAGTCATATACAGAAATTAAATGTAATAAAAAGTAAATTTTCCTCATAAGAAGGTGTTAAATCGACTTTCAATAAACCAACGGTGCGCTTTGAAAGTGGTAAACAAGACGTTAACGGCCGATTTGCATCGGTAACATCATTTTGTAAGCAAAATATGCCTTTTTTTATACATAAAAAAAAAACTTGACTAGAACGAAATTCAGCCAAAATATTTATTTTGGAACGTTCACACAGCGAAGAGAATCACTTGGCATTAGTTTTGCTTGGACAGAGAGATTCTTATCTTCGGACAGAATGTTAATCATTCAAACGTAAATAAACATTTTTAAAAGAACACATTAAGATTTTATTGCTTATTTTTTTATTAATTAACATGGCTGAAGTTCTATTATATTTTAAAAACTTTTTTTTAATATATTTATTTATACGTTTTAAGCTTCCCAAAATGGCTGCTTGTGCGAGAATATACGTGAGTTTAGTGACTCACTGGACTTATTTTTTTATTTTTTTATTTTTTTATATATGTGTATATTTGTATGTAAGAGAATGACGAATTGAATCATTTTCTCACGGATGTGATTAAGTTACGTAAACATTTATCGTCAGATTAAATACATATTATTATGATAAAACTTTGTCCTTTCCCATAGAAAGTAACGTAACTGGTTAAGTTACGCTCTGACTTTCTGGATAATTTTTTCCCTTGTTTTTTGACAATGGAGAGGTCAAAAAATATTATTTTTTTTTAATATAGAAAATTTAGTGTTACTTCCTCTAGAGTCTAGATTATAAAATATACACAATAACTAAGGACAGAGGAACTGCAATAAATATTTGAAGGGCAAAATTGCTACAATATTAATGATTGTGAGAAGGGAAATTTATTAATTAATACTAGTAAACAGGAAATGGTGGAGAAGAATAAAGGAGAGAGAAAATAGCAAACGGAGCGCTCCCGTTCGAATTAAGGTATTTGTTACGAAAGTGTTATAATTATTTACGCATTGTCTGTCTGTATACGTGACTATTCGGACGTTAGCAATTCTAATGAATTTTTAATTTGGTGTAACGAAAACAATTATAGACTGTCGGCTTTTCCGATCGCCTGTACGGTATTATAAACTTATGATTAAAAATAGACAAATTTTCTATAGTTATAAGGCCTAATATAAAATTTATTAAGCTATCGTTCGTATAATAATAATTTCAGCAGAAAATTTTAACTGGTTTATGCTTTTGTAGCAGTTAAATCGTGGAATTATATTGATGCCGCTTAGATTATACATTCGAGACTTTTCCGGAATTAATTATTAATGTTAATTTTTTTAAGAAAATAACTCATGAATTTTGTGATATTATTATTTCTGAATAAATTTAAAAATTAATGAAAATTAATAAAAATTATTAAATTGTTTAAGAACAAATTTTACAAATTATTTTTCGTTAAATTAAATCTAATCGTTTTAATGAGATGGCGCTAGTGCGAAAATGGGTACTGCGGTGAGCACGTGCTTTTTGTGAACACGTGTTTTTCGTTTTTAGTTCGTTTAAACTTTTAAAATGATAGAAAATAGTTATTTAAATGTAGTTTCTTGCCAGGAAGGAGATTATTTAACTCAAAGATGTCGTTTGAGTTTTTCGTTTATTTTAGGATTAGGCTTACGTGTTGGACATTATGTTTCTATTACTTCTGATGATGGTTCTACGAGTGTAATTTGTATGTTACGTCCTTTGTATGAAACAGAATCATTACGTGCTGTTGAAATAGATGATACTGTCGTCATAAATCATAAGTCCATACGTAAGAGATTAAAACACATAAAATATCCTTCTGGATTCACTTCACTTGACACGTGTTTAGTAAAGGACATCAAAATTTCTGTTGTTTTAAGCGACATTAACGCATCATCTGAATGGAAAAACGAAAATTATCAGTTAGAATATTGGATAAAATGCCTTATTCAACAATTTCGCATTGTTAAAAATTCTGTCATAAAATGTGCCAATCATCCTCTTACGGAGTTATGCAAATTTCATGCCATTATTATTGAAGATCTGGACTGCAATGAAAATTATGTAGGAAAAGTCAATGAACAGACTAATATTTCTGTAAATAAAATCATCAGTAAAGAGTGGTACGAACTAAATCAATGTGTCGAAGAGATCCCTCTGGGAGGTTTACGGAAGGAATACGAAATTTTAAAGCATATAATTACTATCTCGACTAATAATTTTGAATCAAATCCCACTGGTATATTATTAATTGGACCTTCAGGAACAGGAAAGTCAACATTAGTGAAAAAAGTTTGTTTGGATTGTAGAGCACCTTTAATTAAAATTGGAATATCAAACTATTGTATATCTGGAGAAAGCAAAAATGAAAATGAATTAAGGAAAATATTTAGTCAGGCTGAGACGTTGTGTGAAGAGGGCCCTTGTGTCCTGTTGGTGGATGAGATTGAATTATTTTTTAATAAGAAAAGTAGTAAAAACTGCAAGCCTCAGTTGCGTTCTCTAATAGATAATGTGAAAAGAAATAGGAAACTGATAGTAATAGGTGAAACGAGTAAACCAAATGACATTGTTTTGAGAATGAGAAGATCTTGTAGATTTGAAAAAGAGGTAGAATTAGATCTAAACATTTCTGAACTGTTTATATGTATAGATATGCTTTAACATGAAGTAATTTCAGTATTTAAAATGTTAATTTATTAAAGATATAGAGGTAAATTATCTTTAATAGATTAAATTTCGGTAGAGGCTGCTTTCAGGTAATTTGTATATACTATATATGGTATCTATATAAACTACCTAAGAGTAAATTCTAACTAAATATATGATAATTATACAATTATTAATTATTTATTACTAAATTAAAGAGAAGGTAATACAAATTTCAAATAAAAACTTGTAGATCATCATTAGATTCTGTTATAATATCTTTTCCATCAACATTATCACAATTTGTTAATATCGGAATGTAACAGAATGTTACTTATTTAAGCAAAGATATTAACACATTGACAAAAATAGGATAATATATTTGTGTTTACGACTGTTGTGTCATTTTTATTGTTCATTTCCATGACATTCTAATGTAATATTTTTGAGTTTACATGCAACACCCAGCTGTGATGATGTTGATGGAAAAGACTGATGCAATTGTTTGCTATTTTAGTTAGGTGAGCATGTCACTAGTTATGCCATAAGAAGTTGGATCTTTCCCAGATATAGGAATTTAGAAATAACATTTACGGTATCAAATCATACTTGATGTTTTCTTTTTCCAGATATTTGTAACTATTATTTACATAAATATCAATTTAACTACATGCATTTTGTAGATGACAACATAAGTAGTGACATGTATATCATTTGTGATTAGTGTAAGCAGAGCATAAAATGAATGCACCAGATTTATAACTTTTTTGATCTTTTTGAAATTTATGAACAAAAGTAAGGTTTGTATATCTTAAATATTATAATTGATAATATCCATTTATAAAATTATATGGGTTTTGTATGTTAGTTTTTAACTGACTTGGTAAATAGGTTTTAGAAATTGATTTAGTGTCCATTCTGAACTTGATATCCATGTTACAAATATTATCTAGATTGTTTATATGTAGAAAATAATACTGGATATTCCTATGAATAAGAAAGCTTACTTGTGGAAATTTGTTAAAAAGTATGGCAGATCTTTACTTGATTATAGTATTGTTCTTTGCTTAAGGATTGTACATCTCAGACACATATCTACCTATGCTGTGCAATCCCCAGGAACAAGATAAACCATAACAATATTCTAATCTGCCAATTCTGTTCTTCATTTTAGACAGTTGTTATCTTTAAAATTGTGGTGCTAAAAGTACAGTAAGACCACGTTCACGTGAGAGATGCATTCCTAGATGACAAAGCAGTAAACGAAACAGCATTAAAAGAGGTCATTTTAACATGGAGAAATAAGGAAAGGGGAACACGTGGCCAAAAATAAACAAATTTTACTTTAATTTTAAGTTATTTTTTATATTAATTTGCATAAAAATATATGTTAAATAACACAAACATATGCACACAGAAATGTAAAGTTCATTTTTTGTGATGAAGGTCCTGGCTCTTTTGAAATTCTTGTTTTTTGCAATAAAGTCTTATAGTTTCATTTGATGCTTTTGGGTTCTTCATTTTCAAAATCTCTATTTTCCAGTTCTACTTGAATTCCTTGTTCTGCCAGTTCTTGAAGGTCGTCGTTGGTAAGGCTCTCACCAGAAACCTACAGTAACTTCTCAATATCCTGCTCTTCTACATCTAGTCCTTCTGTATTTTTATCATAGCTGAATCATTAGGTTGACAATTTGGTCAACCTAATGATACAGCGATAGGCTCTTCTCGTTGAGAATTCTTGGATACCTTCAGCCATAACTTCTTCCACACTTTTTTCATGCAGTTATCAGTTAATTCTTGCCAAGTGAAGTCGATATTGCCTTTGGCATCCATGATGTTATTTTTTTTTCCAAAATTGCACAAAACAAACATAAATTTAAGGGAAGTGCTGTGCTATGACAAATTGCCACCTTTTTCTGATTGGCTTGTGTTCGGGAATAATCGTATTATATGGAATCAATGAAATGCCGTGATAATTTGAATCAGCGTAAATTTTGAGTTTTTTTTAGGTTTCGAGCAGACCACGTTATATTGAATCAGTGTTAATCAAGACAGCGTTAAGCAGGGTCTTACTGTACTTGTAGTCTAGTATCTAAAATTACATCAATGAGCTTTAAATACAGAAACTATTCTAACCTCAGCACCGGGATGAAATCTACACTATACTATCCAGAACCTGTAAACGGTGCGTGATGCGTATATATTGTATACTGCTGTTGACGAACATTTTTGAACAATCTCTTTGCTCTTCTTCAGGTCAATTGGAATTCCCTGGATGGAGTGTATTCTATTTGTTGGGATCAGGTGTCATTCCGACGAAGTGGGTCATTTCTGACATGTGTGGTCGTGCGCTGGAGGAGATAGTTGTGGGTTGGCATCCAACAGGGATTGCTAGGCCAGAGATGGAGTCAGCTCTTTTTTCCGGTTAACGCACGTGGTTACCTGGCTGGTGTTGTAGATAGCTGTGGCCTCTAGCCATGTGAGATGCTCCTGGTAGGTGTGTTGACGATAACAGTAGCTTTTTCGAATCGCACCTCGACCTTGGGATCTGACACATATGCAGCCAGGGCTGTGGTGAGTCTCCTGTGTTGGATATCCGCCTGGTGTTCTCGTAGACAGGTATTTAAGGAACGTTTGGTTGAACTGATGTATAATAAGTTTTCGTTCTGTCTGTTGTCCCTGATTGGGATAGAATAGACTCTGGGGAGTCTGGTGCGATCAGGAGGGTCTTTTTCATTCTGTAGGATACAGAAAATTGTGGGACATCTTCTGTATGCTAACTGTATCCCGTGTTCTCTGGCTATCTTCTTATGTACTGTTTTAAGGTATGGATTGAATGTGATGGGGACTCATGTTAAGCCGTCTTGCTGTGGATTGGCATCATTATTTGCAGTCGGGGCGTGTTTCAGGCATTGGTATTGTTCTACTAAGGTGTGTCATGTTTGGGAACCTGTGCTTGGTTGCTATCCTCCTGATGTGGGCTAATTCGGTTGCCAGGGCCTGTTTGCTTGATGAGTGCAGAACGCCCTTCTGACTAGAGTGCTAAAGGCAGCCTTGTACAAGAATGGGTCACAAGAATTGGCTGGTATGTATGTGGGGGTGGCTGAGGGTTTGTGGTATATAGATGTGTGGATGCTAGGTCCTACTATTTTTATTCCAATGTCGAGAAAATGGACCTCCTCTGTGCTAGCCTGCTCCAGTTCAACTGTCAGACCAAAAGGGTTGTTGATGGTTTTGACAAAGCATGTCATGTCAGGGACCTCCCTCCATATGATAAGAATGTCGTCTACATATCTTTTACAGATCAGGATGTTAGGAAGGAAAGTCGGGGGGCCTTACTCTCGAGCTGTCTGATGACCATTTCACAAAGGTCCCCTGACAGTGCGCTACTCATCGTTACACCCTTCTTCTGCCGGTAAATAGTGCCATCGAACTTAAAAACAGAGTCGTAACACATGAGATGGACTACCTCGAGTATCTGTTGGTGTAGCATATGGTCTTGAACTGTATTAAATAAAAAATCTCTAAGGGAGCAGAAGGCTGGAAGGAGCTCCACCAAAGGGTACATAGATTTGAAGTCCAGGACTGTCATAAATCATGTCGGGGAGGGTAGATCTTGCAGGAGGTGGATGAGGTCAGTCAGTTTATTTATGTTGTAGGGGTAGTCCTCCAGATGGGGAGTTAGAAGGTTGTGTATGGCTTTCTCAAGCTTCTGTGTTGGCACCCTTACTTTGTCTACAATCGGGCGTAACTGTTGGCCCCCTTTATGCATTTTTGCGTAGGTAAAAAGCCTAGAATGTCTGGCGAATCGACCACTATGTCGTGTAGTGCTAGGCACTTGGCTAATTTAGAGTTAGCCAGATGTCTAACCTTAGCATGTAACTTGTCTATTACATTGTCCTTTTCTTTCTCACATATGGTACCATCAATGTACTCTCTCAAACCCTGCTGGTGTGAGCTACGTTTCATGAGGACTAGTGTTTTGGACTTATCAGCTCTAGTGAGAATTATTCCTTTCCTTAAAAAATAGTATAAACTCTATCACAAGATGATGATAATCTGATGATTCAGCTTCAATGTTTGTTCAATGTTGCTGCTTCTTACTTAATTTTTGAATGCTGGGAGTGATGTTATAATTCTCCATAAGAGATTTTGCTTTATTCAGATATATTGCAGAACATTACTGTTTTGCACTTCAACAACTCCCTCATATCTTTTAGTTTCTTTATGAAATTTTGTGCCAGGAGGAATGCACTAATTTTTTAAAGTTTTTCAGTTTCTTTACTTTTATGTACAGTTGATTTGTGCCTCTTTAAGTAATCAAATTCTTTCTTCCAATTTCTGTATGGTTTATTTATCAATCTCTTCAATCAGAGGTTAAGAACCAACATTAGCAGTCTTTTATTTTTTTTTTTCTAGATGGCAAGACACATGCTTTATATAATGCTGAATCCTCCTTTTTGGAGTAAGCCAACCAATGGAAAGTCTTCAGCAAATATTCTTGAAAACAAAGATTTCTTTTCCAGAACAATGAAATTTGCACTTTTCTGGAGGAGACCAGATGGATTTATATGCATTGGAGATTCTTTTTTCAGTACCTTTTTCAAAAATAACACCGCCTCCCAAGAGTAAATTTTGTTGTTGGTTGGTTGGTGCCTGTTCCTGTCAGCATTGCCAGTATTTCATCAATTGACTATGCTGGTTTTGAGCATTCAGTATCATCATCATGTCAGATTTAATGGGAAACTGCATTCTGGTTTTGACTATAAGCAAATAAATATACAGAAGATTTTGTTTCTTTTATTTATTTATTTTGATAGGTTTAATTCTAATAAATAATTAATTTACCTCTTCAGTCTATTGTTTTTTGCAAGAGTAATTTAGTAAAGAATTCAGTAATTTATTGGAAATCCTTTAATAAAGAACTTTTTAACTTTTTACTATTGTTTTTCTCTCTAATA